TTTTGAAATACTTATTATTCTTTTGTCTGTTCCGTTTCTGAATAACGCAAAAGGATAACGTAAAGTACACAATAAAGTATATTTCTACACGACTTACATTGAATAAGGGCTTCTTTATCTTAAATTCTCCTTAGCGTTTTCGACATTTTGTTTTTGTGCAAGGACAGAATAGGCTTAAATTTATGCATTCAAACAAACACTTTTGTTACTGCATTTGTGCACAAAAACTTCCCAGAATAGCTAAACTTTATTTTAAAAAATCAAATCTACAATGTTAATGCAAACAAATGTGATTCCTTTAACTTGTCTGCACTTAAATCTGAACAATTTTGGGGGAGGTTCTATCGAGGGGTCGAATATTTTCATATCTATAATAATCAACTACTTAGAAATTTTAAGTAGGTTGAAGTGCCTATAATCTTATGGTTTTCTGCACGCCATCCTTCGGTGCCGCTGGGATTTTCTGATGGCACTGGACTTCAGAGAGGTTCTCCGAAGGCAACCGCATTCCATAATTGCTAAAATCAGCAAACTAAGAGAAGTTGGCCTTCGAAACTATCCTCGGGAATTATCGCTTACTTCCAAATTTTAAGTAGGTTGACTTCCATGAACTCCCCGCTTTTGTGCTCCGCTAACCTTTTTTCTCATTGGTGTTGGTGATATCAGTGAAAAATGCATCTCAATGACCTCGCCCGAGGTTTGGGCACACCCCGCCTGCACACACGCGCTCGCCGTTGGTCGGGTATTAGCGATGATATTAAAGCTCATTTCAGTGTCTTCTCCCAAGGTTTGAGTACATAACCCAACTTGCCCTCGTAACATTTTTGCTTATCTTAAATTTTGGATCTTATTTGTTCCCTGACATGCCCCGCCCGTCCTCTCCACGAAAATCAGGTGCTCGTTGGCCTGCGGGGTACGCTTCACACTTTTCCCAGACGACCCCATAATATGATCCTACCCAATTCTGGAAGGGATATCTTCTTTACCTATTTTACTTATTTTGGAGTTCTCTCATAGTATAATCAATAATAACGTGCAGTTTGGTTCTCTTTTTCATAATAGCATAGGAAGTTCAATGGATATAAGACGACTCTCAATTTCCCCAAAATTAATGGCTATTTCTCTTAATAAACCTAACTAAAATGACGATGTAACTAAAAGGCTTTCGCAGAATTCAATAAACTGGATGAATCAAAATAGTGTTACTAAATATACGCCAAATTACCTAGTCAAATATATCATCATGAAGGTTGCATGGTCTTTGGCGGCTACTGTAGTATTTGTCTCGGATAATTTAGTATGAAGCTTGTCAACATTTGGAAACTGTACACTTAAAGGAAGGCGAAGGACAAAATGAGCGAAAGATTCCTAAAGTAGGTTTGCTTGGATATGCGTCCATGTGGAGGCAATGTCAAGGGAGGATCCAGTTCTGGGACCCTTGCCTTTATTCTACCAGTTTTTTGCTCCTATAATGCTGATTGTGTGCGATTCAACGCCACAAAAAGTGTTGGCTCTCTATAAACGTTTGTCTTTTACTGATGTAGATCAAAACACGTAAATTGGGATCTGGAAACCACTAAAATTTTCATTGCGAAACTGCCACTGGAGACAACAGGATTCGAGCTTCATGAATATTTTTCAAAATTTGGTTTAATCGTTGAACTCTTCATTATGTATACGAAGCAGAGACCGGATCATCTTCGTTGTGCCATCGTCGAATTTGACGAACCGGACGCAGTCAGAATGGTGCTTGGGAGCCAACCACACCTGCTACGTGATCAGCCTTTGCGCGTTAAGGTGGCACTGAGAAAACGCGAGTATGAAAAAAAGTAAGCGTTTGCACATAAATGTTCCTATCCCAGCTAAAAAAAACTCTAATTATTTTTCCTCACCTAAGG